GGGGTGGTGGGGATGAGGGTGAGGGGTTAAGTCTAAGACACTTTTACATGAGGAATTTGAAATACTACTAATTTGAGAGTTACGTGTAGTTAGGGGTGGTTCAAATCGAATCGAGATTAATAATAAATACATAATTTTGATTTAGTGATTTCAGTTAGAGTTTAGTTTTATACTTATATTTCTGTATGTCATGAACTTTCAGTTATTCTTCAAGAATGATCAATAGTCGATAAATTAATAATTAATATATTAAACTGATAAACTTCAAAATCAAACCGAATTGATTGATGCAGTCTCGTAGTAGCTAAATAAGTCACGTGCATGACAGCAACATTATTGACGTTTGGCCATTCCTAGTTTAATTTTATGATGATGAGGATGAAGCTAAGAAGAAAACCAAAAAATAATAAATAAATAAATAAATGGTGAGATGTTATTAATTATGAAGATGATGAGATAAGATTTGTCCAATGAGAATAGAAAAGAGAAGGAAACCGCCTTTTTCTTCATTAGAATTCGTGTTTCAATTCTCTCCTCTCATTTTTCTCTAATTATTTGAATTTAGATTTGGACTTCTCTCTCCAATCTTTTAAAAAAAAATTATTATAATAATATTTAAATTAATTTATATGCAACTCAATTTATGTCATCGAATAAGTGTGTGTATATTTCTGTCAATAGGTATTTATAGACGAATAAAAGAATAAATATAGATTCCAAAGATACTTATATAGTACTTTTCTGTTTTAATGTATATGATACAGTTTAATTAAGAAAAAATTACAAGAATATGGTATTTAAGACTTTAATTTAATATATCATCTAAGAAAAAAAATTAAAAGTAAATTATAGATATTTGTGTGGACATAAATTATTTTATTAAGAGTGAAATTAGAATTTTAAAGCTAAATTGTTGTTAAATATAGAAATATGGAGTCTAATAAGAAAGATTTGTGAAATTTGTGGTTTTTAATAAGTTATAAATATTTTGTGGATATAATCAATTCATTAACATTTGGTTAGGAACAAGTTATCTTGAAATTAGTTATTTCAGAATAAATTATTTGACATAAGTTATTTCACTCTATATATAGAATAACTTATCTCATCACTAAGGTATAAATGGTGGGATAAATAATATCAGAACTGCCTAATAGCTAATACCTCCAATCAACTCCAATCAAATGCAGAAAAAAATAGTACTACATTTTAGAATTAGGATTTTAAGCCTAAATCATTATTAAATATAGATATATATTATTTTTTTTAGAAAATTGATTAAAAATAAATAAATCTTATAAACGGAGACGTCGATATTTTATGATTTTAGGGGAAAACTGAATGTAGACAATAAGTAAAGGATTTGGATACAGAGAATTCTGCAATGTTTTGACTCTCAAAGCACGTCGTCAATGGTCATCATTTAATATAAATATATACGTTAATCTTTTAATTAGAATAAAATAAAATATGTAGCAAGTGATCGAATCTATACATTTCATGTCCACTATTTGAAATGGTCTCCCCCTTTTTGTATGTTTGTGACAAGTTGGTGGCTAGACTCAAGCATTTATTACTATATATCTTCTCAAGTTGAAGTTAAAAAGAGATCATTATTTCTATAAGTATTAATGTTTTTAAATTTCGATTATACATAAATAGATATGTAAATTTGTTTAAGGTAATAAATAGATATATAATTTTGACATGACATAATACAAATTAGTTCGAGTATTATAGCTCATGAAATTGTTATGTAGGACGTATGCGTCTATTTGTTCAATTTTATACAAATTTTAGTTGTGCAAATTTAAATGTCTACTTATGCACAACTAAAATTAAAGGACATAGATATTTGGCTAGAGCCAAATTAAAGATACGTGCATGTATGTATTATGCATTTTGATAACCTTTCAGGTTAGATTAGTTATTTCTTTTGTCTCAATTTATGTAACTTATTTTTCTTTTTAGTCAGTCCAAGAAAGAATGACATATTTTTATATATAGTAATAACTGTTTAACTTGAAAATATCCATTTTATCCTTATTGAAATTCTTTTTTTCTTAAAATGCTCTCATGTTTTATCTTAACGCAAGTTTCATTTTAACCAACAAGGATTCTAGTGGAATAGTAAGTACTCTTTCATTCTTAATCAAAAGGTCTTGACTCTTGAGTTTGAGTCATCTTTTGGGTGCAAAGTCGCTTTTGTTAGGGAGCGTT